GAAGTCACTGCTGAGTTTTTTATGTGGTGTGTGATCTGTATTTGAATGGCCATTTTAGCACACATTTGTAAGATCTATTAAGTAGCCTATCTGCTGTGATTGGTAGTTATAACTACTCCAAACCTCAGATTCTGAATAATAGCCATCCAAAAAGTATTCTCAAGTCTCCCCTTCGTGGAATCTACCTCACTGTGCTCAGATCTATTCTCCATCTTTCCTGTGCTTTGCTTTGTATCACAGGGACCTGACCCCTTGCAATATTTGGATTAAATTCCTTCTATTGAACAATCTGTCATGGGTTCCTGACTGATCCCCGACTGACAGACTCCTTAATGATGTCATCAGTCAATCCAAAAATATTTTTTAATCTCTATCAGATACAAAGCATTGGATTGGATTCCTGTATGCTAATAAAGCATCAAGCAACTTAGCATCTAATTGAGAAAACAAGACATACAGTGGAAAAGTTAAATAACAATTCTTAACAGTATATGTCCAAATACCAAGTAAATGGTGCAGTCAGTGAATAAACTTTAAGATAGTTAGAGGAGAAAGCCATCTCCATTGGCTTCTGCAGCTAGGGCATGCTTTAGAGGGCCTGAGAGCTGACAAAAAGGGGTCATCTTCTAAAACTTCCAATTTTGGAAAAGTGAAAATTTGAAGTTTTATTTGATATCTCCTGATTTATAAATATTTATTAATATTTCAAACTTTCAAAAACTTCAGTGTGATTCCTACTGTGGGCAAGATAAGACTTGTCTGGGAGCTGAATTGGAATTGTGAGCCAATGATGTGCATTTGGTGGATGGCTTACTGCACTAGGGGAGAAGTTGGATGTATAGAACATTAAGCTCCCTTCCAATTAGAAGATTCCAGGGTTCTAATATTTCACTCATGTGTGAGGCAATCAAGGCCTGGGCTTAGAAAGGGGCAGTGGGCATGGGAAGAAGGGACAGAGGAGAGAGATTAGAGAATATCAATAATAATACCCTACATTTATATGCTAGTTTATGGTTTACAGAGTTTGTCACTGGATGAAGGATAGAATAGAGACTCAGAGGGTAGGCTCTGAAGTTAGACTGCCTGAGTTCACATCCCAGCTCTCCAATGAACTGCTGGTGAGGCCTTGAACAAATCAATAAACCTTGCCCAGCCTCAAGTTTCTCAAACACTAAAAAGGACTGATGCTAATAAATTAATGTGTCTCATAGAACTGTTGGCTAAGTAATTAAATACAAAAGAAGCCCTGAGTACCTTAAACCTGGATCACAGGAATCAGTTTTTACTATTATCACACATATATTATTTCTCTTTAATCTTTTCAACAGCCCATGTTACAGTAAGAATGCATGGGATGGTTGACTGGATATGGAGGTGGGAGGTGAGGAATGAGAGGAATTGAGAGCAATGGCCAGAGTGAGCATTTGGTTCATAGACTCAGCTGAATCACTGAAACTAACCCTGGGTTTCTTGGCCCTTCACTTAACCCCTGTGGGATTTTTCTTCATAAAGAGTGGTTCCCTGCAATGCATTTTCTTCATAATTTTTTTAAAAACTGGATTTCTGAGTATGGTAGGAAGAATAATAGCTCCCCAAAGATGTCCACATCCCAGTGCCTGGACCCTGTAAACATGTTACCTTACATGGCAAAAGGGACTTTGCAGATGTGATTAAAGTTAAGCATCATGAAATGGGGAAATTATTGTGGATTGTCTGGGTGGGCCCAATCTAATCATGAGAAGAGGAAGGCAGATGAGTGAGTCAGAGGGATGCCGCATGAGGACTCCCCACCCCATCCCACTGTTGCTAGCTTTGAAGGTGGAGGAATGGGGCATGAGCCAAGATATGTGGGTGGCCTCTAGAATTTATGAACAGCCCTCAATTTACAGTCAGTGAGAAAATGAAGACGTTGGTCCTGCAACTGCAAGAAACTAAATTCTGCCAAAATCCCCCCAAAGCAGATCACAGATTCTCCTCCAGAATCAACACCTTGATTTTTCATCTAGTGACACCCATAGTAGACTTCTGGCTTACAGAACTCTAACATAACAAATTTGTGTTGTCTTAAACCTCTAAGTTCATGGTAATTTCTCACAGTAGCAACAGGAAACTAATACACTGAAGTTTCCAGCTTAAAGTATTTGGCTGGTATCACCAGCAATACTGTCAACTTCAAGAACTGATCAAGTATGGAAATAATGTAGAGTGATGAGGGATCAGTTCTTAGATATATGGAGTTGGAGAGGCAATGACAGTTGCTCAGAACACACTTGGCCACGTGGGATTGGAGTTTGGGATGTGGTGGCAATAACTTGGAAAGAAAGTGCCAGGGA